GTTTCGAAGAAAGGTGTGGGAGGAGTCACTTCCCCCCCGAGGTTGGGCGCCCTGCGCCTAGGGGGGCTGAGTGTATCCAAGGTCAGCTATAGCAGATAGGAAGGATATGTGTTGTGCTGTTCTTGTCTGTCCTTCCTTTCAGGTGCTCTGCTACGATCCATCGGTTAATCTGGGGAGGTCAGAGGAGGACCATAGGTGTGGCCTCAAAAGATTACCTCAGTCTCCTAGGCAAGAGGGCTGGGTTAATACCCATTGGTTACTCCTCCCACCCCTTCACTTCGGAAACTGGCAATTGGACTTACCTGAACTGCATGTTTAGAAGAAAGGTGTGGGAGGAGTCACTTCCCCCCCCCCATTGTTAGGCCGCCTGGCATCTAGGGGGCCTGAGTGAGTCCAGGGTCAGCTATAGCAGTTAGGAAGGATATGTGTTGTGCTGTTCTTGTCTGTCCTTCCTTTCAGGTGCTCTGCTACGATCCATCGGTTAATCTGGGGAGGTCAGAGGAGGACCATAGGTGTGGCCTCAAAAGATTACCTCAGTCTCCTAGGCAAGAGGGCTGGGTTAATACCCATTGGTTACTCCTCCCACACCTTCACTTTGGAAACTGGCAGTTGGACTTACCTGAACTGCATGTTTAGAAGAAAGGTATGGGAGGAGTCACTTCCCCCCCCCCATTGTTAGGCCGCCTGGCATCTAGGGGGCCTGAGTGAGTCCAGGGTCAGCTATAGCAGATAGGAAGGATGTGTGTTGTGCTGTTCTTGTCTGTCCTTCCTTTCAGGTGCTCTGCTACGATCCATCGGTTAATCTGGGGAGGTCAGAGGAGGACCATAGGTGTGGCCTCAAAAGATTACCTCAGTCTCCTAGGCAAGAGGGCTGGGTTAATACCCATTGGTTACTCCTCCCACACCTTTCTTCTAAACATGCAGTTCAGGTAAGTCCAACTGCCATTTTCATTGCTGTTCAAAATCCTGAACCAGGAGATAATCCAAATAATTTGTTGGATTTTTAAGACCATTTGAGGAAATGTCAAAATTGAGATAATAAATTGGCTACAATTAAGGTATAATTAATATTCTTCAATGGGCAGATTAGGAAAGCTAATCGGAGAAAGTTAGCTAATTTGGATCTTAATGTCATCTTTGTTTAACTTATAAAAAAGAAAATGAATTTTTCTACAAGTTTGCCAATGTTTAAACTCATTCACAAAAGAATATTTTTTTATTGGCAGATGTTCTTATCAGAGATGAAGGAAGATGACGTATTAGGAATAAAGTTATCAAATTAAAAATATGTGAGCAAGTTCTTTCAAAAATATGAAAGTATGTAGTTATTTTGCAAAGCTGTATATGATGAAACTTAGAAAGGACTTCTTGTCTGTTTTAAGTCATCAAACTAGATAGAATGTCTGAGCATTTTCTGAGGTTGCAAACATTTATTTATTTATTTATTTATTGCTACCTATTTGCCCATGGCAACTCAAGGCGGCTTACAGAATATAAAATATTAACCTAATAAAGTTTTAATCTCTCTTTTTCTTTTCTCACTAGAAAAACCATACCGGACATGACTTCTATAAAGGAGCAAGCAGCAATCAGTAGATTAATAACTTTCCTACAAGAATGGGATAGTGCTAACAAAGTTACTCGAAAACATATTCTTCAAAATTTCATTCTTGCTAACCAAGGCAAGACTGGTCCAGAACTTGAGAAAGAATTCTCTCAGGGAGCCAGTTTGTTTCTGGCACGAATAACTGCCTGGCTCCGGCTAACGTATCCATTTGGAGAACTGATGGTCAGGTAGAACAAGGAAATACTGTGAAACAATGTTGAAATTACTAGGATGGGCTATACACTATTTAATTACACCAAGAAGTACAGTTTTGAAAGATGTAGTCTCAGATACTGTTCTGACCCAGGCTTCCTTAAAAAGCAAGAAGCAAAGTCTTGGTCCCAGCAAAACCCTTTTTATTTACACAACTGTGAATTCCTTTCATTCACAAGTCAGCAAGGTTTAGCAAACAGTCTTTCATAGAAATGTTTATCAACACGAACCTTATCTCATTTGGAGAGCTGCCAAGTAACTAGTTTCCAAACCCAGGAGGGCGAACTCCCTGTTTGCTGCTCTTTTGTTTCTTATGGGAGAGGCCAATCACCTCCAAAGTGTGGCTTTACTCCTAAGTTGACTCTCCTTTCTTAGTTGTTCTTGTCTTCTGGCAGCTCTGCGCATGTGCACACTGGGAACAGGCACCAACTATTCCTCTGCCTCACTGCTGTATAGCTCCCTCTCTGCCTCCAACATAGAGCCCACATCTGAGCTTTCCTCATCCCCTAGGACTGGCTCATGTTCCTCCCCAACCTCCTCGCTGTTTGACTCTGCTGCCAGCTCTGCAGGCCACAACAGATACAGAAACAAATTCTGAAAATTCGCTATTTTTATTGTTTCATGACAAAATAAATAGCCTGTTTGATAGTTTATTAAATCTAATACATTTATTATAACATAAATATAGTTTGTTAAGCCCATACACAGAATTTTTGTAAATGGCTTTAAAAAGAGCAAAGAGGATAAGGAAAAATAAATTCAGCTAAGGTTTATTCAGAATATATTAAAATAAAAACCTTAACTAAGTCATAATAGCTATATGTATGGAACATGCCTGGAAAAACAGTTAAAATCAATTGGTATCTTCCTTTCAGCTGCAAGTGGGTAAGTAAATGTACCATTTTCAGGAGTCGGAGGAATCTTACAATTTTTAGTCTTCTATGTTGTTGAAAGAAGGAATGTTCTTTATGTTCTTGTGGTATCAAATGATATACAAATAGTTTTTGACTTAGGAGCCCAAAATTTCTGTTACTAAGCAAAATAGTTGTAAATTGAATGTTGCCCCATTTTATAATATTTCTTTCTACAATCGTTAAGTGAATCAGTTAACAATTGTTAAGTTAGTAGCATAGTTGTTAATTGAATCATTGACTTTGCTTGCCAGGAGAGCGCAAAAGGTGGTCATGACTCTGGGACACTTGCATCCATAAATAAATGCCAGTTGCTAAGTGTCCAAATTTTGATCACATGACCACAGGAATGCTGCAACAATCATCAGTGTTAAAAATGGTCATACCTCACTTTTTCCAGTGCTGTTGTAACTTCAAATGGTCACCAAATGAATGGTTCTAAGTCAAGGACTAACTGTATAGGAAGTTCTGTTGGTTATGCTTCTTTATTTTCTTGTTTGATGAATCTCTCTTTTCGGCACTTTGCTTTCTGAAGACATTTGTTTATTTACAAGTTCTTGAAAATAAAATATGATTACTGTTTTAAATATTCTTTGGTATCATCAAGTGTACACTGCCTGAATAGTAGCCTATCCCAGATTGGAGAAATGTTATATAATCTTTTATAATACACTTGCAGATTTTACCATATTTGAAATAATGCAGTATAATTGCATATTATAGACAGAAGCAATTCCAGAAATAACCCTTGAAAGCCTTTTGATGAAACCTGAACCACTATCCTCTTCAGTTTGTCTGGAGGGGATGCAAATTGCTACATGTTAAATGGAAATTGAAATTTCTAATTTTCTGTGTTAAAAGTATTGCTAACTTGTATGTCATCACAAAAAAGAAAAAGAAAAACATTGAGAATGATGACAGTTTTCTAAGAAGGCATCAACATCTCTAGGACTAAGTGAAGTGGTATTAAATAGTATTCTTTTTACAGACATGCATGCCATGCGCGCACACACAGAATTGCCATAAAGCCTTTTGTTTTGTTCTTTAAATTTTTGCAGCCAGCGGTATCTTCTTGAATTCCTAGAAATTGGTGGTATCCTCACATTATTGGAAATACTTGGGCTGAAACAACTGAAAGAGGAAGACAAAATGGAGTCTGTAAAACTTCTTCAGTTAGTGGCAAAATCTGGCAGGAAATTCAAAGAGCTTATCTGTGAAAGCTATGGTAGGCTTATTTCAACATCTGTTGTTTAAGAAAGACTATTTCAAGTATCAGGATAATTATTTTCTCACACAATTAAAATCTTTCCTGTCTGAATCTCATGGAAAGAAAATAATTTCTTCCCTTCTGTAATTCAGCAGAATGATAAATCATCTCAGTGATCCAATTTACATTAATTTTAAAATACTAGAAGTCTTTGGTCTTCATAAGAATGTTTTCCTTCAACAAGGTATTATGGTATTTTTTTCTTTATTGCAGTATGTTAGAGCCATGCATTGAGTTAATTGAAGCATAATTCCCTTTTGAAATTGCTGCAAAATAATATCTTTCTGAAATTCCCTTTGAGTATTCAAACTACTAGAATATGAAAAATTAATTCTATTATCATAGATCTCTAGATCTCTATACAGTATCCATGTATCTATATCTACAATATGTTCATATATATATCTTTTCTATATCTCTATATATCATCTATTCAGTTCATCCTTTTCTCTAAAATATGGATACATAACATGTAGAGACCAGATGCTGAATCACAAATTCTCACAATCCCAGCCAATTACGAGGATGCCAGAAGATGTAATTTGGCAACATTTGGCATCTATCCATAAATAACACTTAGTTTTTTTATAAAACAAACACACAAGAGTTTGTGCAGTTGAGATGGAAATCCAACCAAGTTAGTTGGATTGTAAGAATTGTAGGCTTTAACTAGCACAGTTTCAGAAACCTGCCTACTTAAAAAGCCAGATATTTCAAAGAATAGTTCCTTGCTTCCACAACAGCACATATATAGTCTGTAGCATTTAGGACAAATTTGATATCTTAAAAACTGAAAAAGTATTTAGGAGATTAATCATTATTAGGGTTATAGAATTAAATTATTCTCAAAAACTATTTAATGTAATCCCCCAAATCATCTGCATTCCTTATCTGTTGATATTTCCATTTTAGAAACCTAATGTCTATCATTTACACATTTAATGTTATACTGAGTTTGTCTGTCATCTGAATTGAATTTTGACCTTCATGCATGACTATGGTATTTTGTAACTACTGGTAGCAGAAAGAAAAACTGCTCTAAAGGAGTAGAAAAGAAAACATTATCAATAATATGCTACTAGTGTCAAATACTACATTGCACGTAGACTGGGAACCTGCAGCATTATATCCAATGTCAGATAAGAATTTTGACCAATTGTCCAACTAGGTCATTCAACACTTCCAATCAATTTTTCAAATATAATTATTTATTGCAGTTCTTCAGAGCTGGGTCTCCTAAATCATTGATAGCTCTTCCCCCTCACCCCTGCCCTCTATAGCAGGGGTGTCAAACTCAGGGCCTGGATCCGGCCCACGGAATGCTTATATCTGTCCCGCAGAGCCGTCCTGAAACAGCAAAGGACTGGTGCATGATGCCTCTGCTAGTGAAAATTGAACTCAGGAGGGCCACGGGCAGCCCTCCCAAGCTCTGTTTTTGCCAGCAGAGGGTTGCAGGAAGTTGTTGCAGCCGAAAACAGAGTTTGGGAGCCCGTTTTCACTGACAGAGCTTTTGGGCCACCACAGGCACCCCTGACACGAGTGACATTGAGCTGGCCATGCCCACCCTGGCCACGCCCATCAAGACCCCTGAGGTCAAACACACTCTTGATGCGGCCCTCAATGAAATCGAGTTTGACACTGCTGTTCTTTTTTATTATTATTATGTCGTTAATCTTTGGTGAGATTCACAGCTTTTGGGCCTGGTTGGTAGCTCAACAGCTCGAGTCCTAACCAAGGACCTAAGTACTGGTACTGTTAAGGTAACATCAGAGGATATAAGCTGTTCCAAGTTAGGGTGGTTGTTTGTAGAATCAGAATGTTCAAGTCTGATAAATTTAAATTTATTATTATTATTATTATGTGGTTAATCTTTGGTGAGATTCACAGCCTTTGGGGCTGGTTGGTAGCTCAACAGCTCGAGTCCTAACCAAGGACCTAGGAACAGCTCGAGTCCTAACCAAGGACCTAGGAACTGTCGGAGGATATAAGCTGTTCCGA